AGAAGTCAGAATCCAGACGAAAGGCGGGGTGCTCACCAGGGGGCTGGGTGGAGGGGATGGAGAGTCACTACTGTTTAACGGGGAGATTTTGCAGTTCTGCAAGATGGAGAGAGTTCTTGGGGCGGGGATATGGTGGTACCACCGTGTGAATGTGCTTGGTACTCAGGCTCTCAGCTAAGTACTTCACGATGGCTGTGAACATAGTAAATTTGACTTCATATTTATATTTTTATTATTTGCTATAATAAAATGTAAAACAAAGGAATGAAGGAAGGGAAGAAAGAAGAAGAAGAAGGAGCTGGGCGTGGTGGCACACACCTGCAATTCCAGCACTGGGCGGCTGAGGCAGGCGGGTCACTGCCAGTTTGAAACCAGCTTGGGTTACATAGTGAGTTCAGGGCCAGAATGTACTATATAGCCAGACTCTGTTTCCAAAAAATAAAAAAAGACTCCGAAGAAAAAGGAAGGAGCTGTCAAGTCATGAAAAGACACAGAGAGGATGGCAATGCAGATGACTAAGCGGCCCTATCCAGAGCGCCACCTCCCATACAGCTCCAACCGTGACAACAGTTAGATCAGGGGCTGCCGGGGCTGAAGGGGAAGGAGCACAGGGGGTTCAGAGTGGCGCTACTGTGGATGACACCGTTGGCAGGCACATATCCTTACACATCTGTCTAATCCCACAGCACACACAGCGCCCAGAGAGACCCCAGGGTATGCACCGCAGCAGCGCGGCTGGGGTGGGGTGGGGTGGGGAGGGGTGTTCAGCGCAGGCGCCCTGAGGACATCACAGGAGGGAGGCAGTGCTTAAGCGGCGGGCTGTGAACTCTACTTCCCTTCTGCGCTGCTCAGACCCTAGAAATGCTCCAGAAAGCGAGCCTCGGGGTTCAGAGCTCTTTACTTTCCTGGATCTCCCCATGCCCTTCTTTCATCCCAGACAGGGCCACCTTTGCAAGAGGAAACAGCAGGCATCCTGGGTCACCCTTCCAGCAGCAGCGCAGGGCTGAACCCGAACCCGCTATGCCCGCCAGCCCAGCCCGGCAGCTCCCCAGCCAGCATGGGCTTTCCCTTTAGAAACCCTTCTCACTCATCATGCAGAGAAGTCCCTGCCATGTCGAGCTGTGTGACTCTGGGCCAGCTGCTCCCCATCTCTGAAGCAGCCACAGCACCGCAGAAGGGTTTCCACTCCCACCCCGCCACAGCTGGCTGTTTGCAAGGCCGCCCATGTGCTTCACAATATGGATTTATATCATTTTTCAAAACAATCATCGAGCCCCAAAAGGCACTTTCTGCTGCCTGAGCAAAAAAGCCAGGATTTTCCCTAAAAAGAGGAAATTAGTGACGCCCCACACATAGAGCCAGGGTCTGCCAGCCTGGCTCCCACGCCAATCACGGGGGACCTTGGGAATCTCCAGGGAAAAGGGAGCACATCTGTGCGGCTGGTGTGAACCCTTAAAATTGAACTTGAAAAGGAGGAAAAGGCTGGGGGTGGACAACCTGGGAGGACCGGAAAGGGCCACAGGCTGCCAGGACTCACAGGTGGACGCAGTGCTGGCCGGAGCTGCGGTTCCGGGTGCTCTGGGCTGAGTGAGCAGGAAACTGGGGCGCTGAGCACCTGCCATCCTGTCTCCAGCACACATGTCCCAGGCTGAAAGGGGAAGCCCGAAGCCAGGCTAAGGCCACAGCCCTGCACTCCGCTCCCGCTGTGGGCGTGTAGACGGAGAGTGGAGAGAGGGTGTAGACAGTGAGAGTGGGTCCTGTTCTACCTTGCCAACACGGATTGGGGAGCCCCGGAGACCCCAAACACCATCACCAGCTCCCTGGCAGTCTTGGGGTGGAGACTGTGCGTCCATTCAGTGGCCTTTCAGTCCCTCCAGCACTGGCCTCTCTGGCTGTGGACCGGTGTCCAAGCCTTGGCATGAGCAGCTAGAGAATTCTGCTCCACCTCGCAGAGGCCAGAGCTGCTCAGACCACTCAAGAAACATGGTCAAGGCTGCACAACGGGCAGAAATGTGGCTGGGACCCAGGTCTTCCTCCAAATCTCCCTGGGGGCGAGCAGGTGCCCTGAGCTCTCCTGGGCCACCAGCTCCTGCCTGTACCAGCATCTCTGAGGCCTCTGGATTACAAAGGATGGAATTTCTCTTCCAACTCCATCCCAGCCTCTCCACCCTAGGACAGCACCTCTTACCCCAGCGGCCTCCACAGGGTCACCCCTGTAACTGAATGTCCCCTCCCTCTGGAAACCAACAGTGCCCAGCCTTGGTTGCACCTCAGAACCATCTGCACAGTTTTAAAATACAGCAATGCTGCTCAAAAAGTTAAACCTAGAAACATGATCACCAAAAGAATACAGTCCTGGATTAAGGACCAAAGTAGAGGCCAAGGGAATAGAGTGGAGAGGCCAAAGATAAATCCAACATGACCCCTGAGCCTGTTCAACAGAGAAAGCACGGTGCCTTTAACAAGGGGTACAGGGGCACATACTTCCATGAAATCACAAGTCAGATCCCTACCTCACGCCATACCCAAAACTTAACTCTAAATGGAGCAATAACCTAAATACAGAAGCTAAAACGCTAGCAACCTTCGAAGCAAGCATGGAGTAAGCACATCTTCAGGACCTTGGGTTGTCGATGGACTATTAAGTAGGACATCAAAAAGCATGGCCAAAAAAAAAGGAAAAATTAGATAACAGGAGCGTGGGAACAGGTTCCACAGTGGCAGATAGGCCGCTGTCACCCCGTCCTCCTGTCACCTGCTTCCTGCTGTCAGATCACAGGACACTTAAAAAGCTGCCTTTTCTCACTCAGCTGGCTGCAGGGGGCTGGCTGGGAGATAAAGACACATAACTTCTCTTCCTGCCTGCACCCTGAGGGCAGTGCGGGGGCTCTGGGGGATTTGGGGAGAGGGCTACCACAGCAATGTGGGCATCACCATGTGTTCAAAGGATGCCATGGGGGCAGAGATGCCTCTGTAGGTGCAGAGGGTTGGGGGAGGGAGCTGCAGGGAGCACTGGTCTTGGGGCAGGAGCTCCGTGTTTGTGTTCTCCCCTCGCTGCTTGTTAAGAGTCATGGACAACTCCAAACCCCAGAGGGCTCCCTGCTAGAGATTATTAATGCCACCTCTGGCTAGGGGCCGATGGACAGCTATCCATGGAGGACCTGGAAAAGAGGGTAGGAAGGGGAAGGCTGTTCACACCCAAAGAGGCCCCTGAGCCCCAGGACAGACGTTAGAACAGAGCGCTGACACAAGCCAGACCCCACTCTCAGCCTTTGGGCACAGGAAGAGGCCTGTGTCTCCAGGGTAACCACTCTATTTGGTCACAAACACCAGCTCTCACATCCTCAGAGCCTGGGCCTGTGCAGAGAGGTGACCTTAGGAAGCCACACAGTCCAAAGCGAGCTGCCATGATTCATGGCAAACAGGGGCTTCTCTTGGGGTCACTCTGCCCTTGCAGCTGCCCAGTGAGATGTGGGCTTTGTGCCCATTTCACAGATAAGACTGCTGAGGGTGAGGATTCAAATCGCTCATCCTGCAACCTGCAGCTATTCAAGCCCAGACAAGGCTGCTGGACTTTGGCACCTTTCTGCTTTCCTTGCAAGCAACACTTTCCTGTTTCCAGGGTCATGCGAGGGGCCAGCCCCGATGCTCAGGCTGCCTCCACAAGGGAAACCCACAACACTGGCCCTGTTGTTCCGAAGAGACTCTTATGCTGGGACAAGCCTGGGGCTGGGGAGAGGAGAGGAGAGGAGCTTTCCACTTACCCACCCTAGTGCCTGCTTCCTGTGTGACAGGCCCCACAATTACAGTGAGGATCAAGGTCAGTGCCTGGGGACTGTCAGGAGCCGAGGGGACAGCACAGGACACAGTGGCTCTGTGAGTAGGTGTTACATTCCTGTTTTATTTTTATTTATTTAGGATTTTCTTAGTATTGTTTTCTGAGGCAAGGTCTTGCTCTGTATTCCAAACTGGCCTTGAATTCACTATGTAGCCCAGGTTGGTCTTGAATTCACAGTGATCCTCCTGCCTCAGCCTCCCAAGTGCTAGAATGACAGGCAGGCACCACTACACCTGGTCACATGCACTTTAGAGATCAGGAAACCAAAGCCCATAGAAACATTTTTTTTTTGTGGCAGTACCGGGGATGGAACTCACGGCCGTACACTTACAAGGCAGGTACTTATGCCACTGAGCTAAATCCCCAGCCCCTCTAAACTGGAGCGATAACAGCACCAACATCTCAGGGCGGTGAAAAGATTGCCATCACAGACTGTTCATTTCACAGACTGCAAAATGAGGCTCCTGGGGGCGCGCACCTGTAATCCTAGCGGAGGCTGAGGCAGGAGGATACCATGAGCTCAAGGACAACTTGAGGTACATAACAAGAAAAAACAAAAAGAAAGAAAAAAAGAGAAGAGAAGAGAATAGAAAGGAGGCCCACGGAGGCAAAGGAGCCACAAGGTACACTGGTGGCCGTAGCTGGCCAGGGTCAGACACCCTGGCTCTGTCTTTGGAATCTCCCATGAGCTCGCCCCCCTGCACCCAGTCCTGGGGTCACAGGCAGCCCAGGCAGGACTTCCGTTTCCACTCCATCAGGAATGTGGAGGCTGACGGAGTCCCTGTGGGTTTACCTCTGATCCACAGGGCAGCTCTGGGGACAGAGGCAGCAGTCACCCCAGGAAGGCATCACCTCCTACAGTCCCCAACTAGGTGGGTGTGGGGAAGCAGCCTCCACACCCCAACACCCCCTTTTTTTTGAGACTTGCTTGCTATGAAGTCCAGGCTGGCCTCAGACTCACAAGGTACTCCAGGCTGGTTCTGAACTCATGGCGATCCTCCTGCCTCAGCCTCCTGAGTACTAGGATGATAGGTGTGTGCCTCATGCACAGATCCCTGCACCATTTCACCATGCCCTGAGACTTCACTCAGCAGTGCTGGTCTGGAGGGTGGGGAGAAGGAGAAGAGTGGACCATCCTCCCCACCACGGTGCTGAAACATACCTCAGCCAGTCTGTGTTTCCCTTCCGGCCCACAAGTGACCAAGTTCCCTTGGGGTCTTCTGCTGGTGGCTTCCAGATTAACTCTAGAGGGAGGAGAGACAAAAGCAAAGGTCTGTGTGCCATGTGGATAGGTGTGGCTCCCCATCCCTGAGGCTCCCCAACCCCACCTCTGCAAGTAGAGAAACCAGGCAGGGACCCGCAGCTGGACGATCACAACCAAGGTCCCCAACATGGTAGCCCCAGAACCTGTGACAGGTCAGGGCGTCTTTCTGGTCCTCTCAATGAGCACGGCCCACACAGCATTGCTAATGAGAAAACTGAGTGGCGTCTCTTCTGCTTCTTAGCTCGAATCCCATCATCTGGGTGTGGGAACGCCAGTCTCCTCGGGCTGAGGAAAGGCTTCCCGACAATCGTGCAAATGGGAAAGAGACTTAATCACCGCCTAATGAAGGCAGGCTCTTTGGGCAGATCAGTGACGGCAAGATTTGTGCATGAGGGAGAGGCCTTGAGGTGAGGACAATGCAGGTCCCCAAGTCAAACGGGAAGGATCAATGTCACTCCATCCGGACAGTGCACCGCCTGCGGAGGCCTGAGCCCATCCCAAGGCCTGGTGCAGCGGGAAGAAAAGCAAGCACAGTGGACAGCCACAGGGGAATGAGAGGGCACCAAGGTCCCCAGTGCCACCCTCAGTGACAAGGCCAAGCAGAGGGTCCTTGATCAGTTTCCACTGCCTCAGGCAATAACAGTGACAACCCCAAGAGAAAAGTCTCCACTCTAAAGATGAGGACCATGAGTGAGTGAGCTCAGGTGGCAGAGAACTCGCTCAAGGCCACACGGCCGAAAGGGGCCAGGGCAGCAAAGCACAGGACAGGAGGAGCCTTTTGTCTGAGTTCCAAATTTGAACCCAGGGCTCTCTACACAGTGACTTCGGACAAAGGCAGGCATTTGCTCTGCAGCTGGGGCAGATGTCCCAGCTCCGTTCCTGGGGCCTCCCTGGGCCCAGGCTCTGCGTTCAAAGGCTCAGAAGTGATAATGAGCTTTCATGAGCCCCAGGGAGCACGGAACACGTATTAATGTCAAGCGTGCCCGTCAGCCAGGCAGCCCGGGTGAATGTCACACATTAAGGAAATTAAAGGCTGCAGCCACGCCGGGCAGGAGTGGCAGGCCGCGCGTGTCAGGAAGGTGGGCAGGGCCTGTCACTAACAAAATTACTTTCCGGCTCTGGCACTCGGAGCCTTGAGCTCTCTCCGGGCTTGGAGGGAAGTCTGCCCTCCTGCAGTGAGCCAGGAGATCAGTTTATTACCAGTCTTCCCGGAAAGACAGACCCCGCACTAATCCAGATTTCCATTAAGCCGACCTGCAACGTGTGGGGATGGGGAATGGCTGGCTTGGACTATGTCTCCATGTCCCCTGAAACCCCGACCTAGGTCCTGCTCCCCCTAAAGAAGGGCAGCAGCTATAGATAGATGGTTTCCAGCCAGAGAAAGGAATCCAGGGTTTAGGGCCCAGAGAGGAGGTAGGGGCTGGGTGACAAGGGGCAGTGTGCAAAGCCAGCTGGGGTTCAGTGGTGACGGTACCCTGGACCTGAGTGTCCTGGCTTTGGGAAGGAACAGCGGAGGGCAGGAGCCACCCTCCCAAGGCTTGAGTTGGTGCAGGTTCAAACCCTAAATCCTGCCCTTTTCACCCCAGAGCCTCTGTCACCTGGAACAAAGCACCTGCCAACTCTGGAGCTCGGGCCACCAATTCTGGGAGCTCCTGGATGACACGAGGCTCACTGCAAGTGCTCACCGGAAGCAGCAAGGGCCCGGCTCTCCTCGGGTCACAGTCTCATGTCTAATGCTGCTGGTTCACGTCACTAACGCTTATGACCCTTTTTTAAGGTAAAGCCTGGTTTCCGAGGTAGGAAAAAAACTGCGTTTAGAAGTCGTGCCTTAGAATGCACTTAACAAACACTGTGAACATGATGAGAACTGGCTGGGTCTGCCCGCTCTGCGGTCCACCTCAAGCCAGCTGGCCGCCGCCTCCTCTTTGTGTTCTAAACGAACGGCTGGCAGATGACTCGATTTATAAGAAAAATTTGGGGGCCACTCCGGTGTCCAGAGGAGGCCCCGACAAGACTCTCGAGTATTGGCTCTGATGTCTCCATCTCCACTTTTAAGTTTTTAATTAAAATAGTGCACACATGCACACATGGACATACACACAAATAGCGCCGAACGCCAAGCACATGCAGCCTGCCGCAACGTCACAGCGGAGCACTGCGGGAAACAGGCACCTACTCCACAGCCGTCTCTATTTTCTTTCAGCTACTTCTCCCAGATCATCCCTGATTCTCCGTTTTTGTCCCTCCTTCCCGATGCTGCCCGCCTCAGCCTCAGCCTCAGCCTCAGCATGCCTGGCCAGTCTGCAGCCTGCAGCCTCTGCTCCCCCAAGCCTACCGTCCTTGTGGCAGGCACTGGATCTGCCTCTGTGGCCGCAGGTTGCCTGGCTCCCCTCAGCCTGTACGCAAGACATTTTAGCATCTGATCCTCCGTTGTGCTCCAAGCCCCTCTCAGGTCTTTGCTCCGCGCAGACTGCAGTGTGAACGCACTTGGCCTCAGCCCCCACCGCATGCTCAGCCCACCCTAACCCTGGAATTCTTCTCTCTCTTTCCTAACTGTGACTTCTCACTGAGCAAACTTCTGCTCATCCTTCAAAATCTTTCCTCAGTCAGGTGCAGTGCAGCACACCTATAATTCTACCATACGGGAGGCTGAGGCAGGAGAATCACTGCGAGTTTGAGGCCAGCCTGGGCTATGTAGCCTTATCTCAAACAAGACAAAACAGAACAAACACCGTCAATTATCCCTTCTGAGAAACCTTCCCAGGCCCCAGCTGGCATGACAAATCATTATTCTCTGGGTTCCCCTAGCAATTTGTATGGATAGTGGTATGTTTTTTGGTCATGTGACTTTGAGTCACTCAACAATAGAAGTGGCGTCCTCCTCCCTCTGTGGGCCTCAGATCCTGACTCAGGATAGTTGCGAGGAAAGTGGACAACAATGGGTACAGAAGGGATCTACTGGAGAAACTGGAGGGCGGAAAGGAGGAACTAGGTTATGGATGGGTGGATGGATGGTAATTAATGGGTGAGTACACGGATGATGCAGGAAGGGAAGGCGGGAAAGAGAGGAATGACGGATGGGTAGATGGCTGGATGATGGGCAGATGGATGGACAGGAGGGATGCACAACGGACGGCGGGAGGGGTGAGGGATGAGTGATGGATGAATGGATAGATGGATGCACTGATGAATGATGAATTGGTGGATGGATGGATAGATGAATGAATGGATGGATGGATGGATCGATAGATGATGAATGGGTGGATGGATGGATGTTGACTGGCTGAATGAATGACCATTGGGTGAGGAAGGGATAAATGAATGGATGAATGGGTGATAGAAAGAAGGACAATGGAGGGCAAATGGATCTAAAAAGAGCCAGTTAAACGAATGGTGGGGGAGCCAGATCAGAGAAGAAATGGATGATTCTAAACTGCTTGTACAATTGCCACTAGACCTGGTCAGATGGAGACTCACAGCTATGAACAGATGAGCCACGCAGTCAGCCTCCAGCTACCCCGCCTGACTACCTGCTCTACCTGTGTATCAATAAGAGCTTCAGAAACGAGGGCTGAGGGCTGCCCCTTGCCTTGGCCTTGGCTGAGGGCGTCTGACAGTGTGGCAACGATAGCAAAGTTTCTCAGGCCTGGGTCATGACCAATCTGTGGGCCAGTGGGTTTGCCAACTGATATACAACCATCCAGCTACCAGCCAGGCATGGGATAGGTTGCCTGCCTGGTTCCAGGTGAAGAGACAGGTGCAGATGGAAGCCCCATGCCACCTGCAAAGATGGTCTTTGGGGGAGGGGACATGAACATGGCACTGAGCCAGGATAGCAGGACAGCCTAGCTACACTGTGACAGTACCTGAGGCTGGGCTGGCATAGAAACTCATCTCCCAGCATGGCTACGTGGACAGGAGACAGGGTAGGAGGTGAGGAGCCGGACACAGAAGGATCTATGAAAGAACCTGAGTGATGGAGAGGAGGAAGTGGCTTACAGTTGGCTGCAGGGATGGATGGGTAGATGGATGAGTGGGTGGATGGATGGGTAGGTGGGTTGGATGGACAGGTGGATGGGTGGATGGGTTGAATGGATGGATGGCTAGAAGGATGGCTGGATGGCTGGATGGAGAGACGGACATGTGGTAAAGCACTGTGGGTTTTCTTATCCCCAAACCTCAGGACAGTCACCAGTTAAGCACAAGTGTGGAAATCACAGTCCCATCTAACAGATCAAAGTTAGAGATCTGATGAGCTAACGGACTGCAAGTGATTCCCATGGTACCCAGAACAACAAAAGCATTTAATACACAGGGAAAACAGGACCCTAAAAGATAATCTGTACTACTTCATGTCAAAGGGTAGTGGCCAAGGAGTGGTCAACATGCAAAAATCAATTGGTGGTATACATCCCATCCACAGAAGGAAGGGCGGAAATTCGATCATCTCCACAAATGCAGAGAAGGCTTGTGACAAAAGTCAGCAGCCTTTCATGACCAAAACACACAACAGCCTAAGCCACACACGTACACGCATGCCAAACACCATGGTGACGGGCAGAGAGCTTTCCTGTAGACGGGGACCAAGACAGGTGTGCGTGTGACTCAGGACCTCGCGCTTGCCAGGCCCCTGAGTAGGACAAGCACACCCCCTTCTACCACATAGTGTAGACAGCTTTTGGTTTTTCACTCACTGTTTTCACAGCACTGGGGATCGGACACCGGGCCTTCCTGCTCAGCTACGTCCCAACCTTCTTCAATTTTTGATCTTCATGCAGAGCATCACTAAATCACCCAGGCTGGGCTTAAATTTGCAGACTTCCTGCCTTAGCCTCCCAGAGTGCTGGAATTACAGGCATGCATCACCACGCCTAGTTTAGCTAGAGGAACTTGACACTGAATTTGACAGTGCATTCTTGGATATGACACCGAGAGTAGATGCAACAAAAGAAAAAAAACTGGGCTTCATGAAAATGTATA